GAAAGAAAAACACTTGTCAAATACAAGTAAATTAATAAAGGTAAATTATACCAATTTTTATCAACATGTCGACTCGATCTACGTCCGTCAATGACGAAACAGCGCTCAACAGATCTCTGATCGATCTGGATCACGAGGCGATCTTTAACACGAGCAGTCCTCGTGTTTCTGAACATGAACATGACAGTTATGCTGATCAATACAATATAGCAGCATTTAACAATCACCGTCTCACTCCATTCAATGGAGATTCTCCAGACTTATGGTTTTTAGTTATTGAACATGAGTTTCAGTCTGCTAGGATCAGGAGTGACAATACTAAGTACACAGCAGTACTCAAAGCCCTAGACTTCGAGACACTGCGCCTCATCCAGGATGTCCTCCGTAATCCACCAATGACAGGCAAATACGAATATATCAAAAACACTATATTAAGCAGAATGTCTGAATCTAGAGGTAAGCAAATTGACAAGCTATTAAAAAACTTAACTCTAGGAGAGAAGAAACCATCACAGCTCCTACGAGAAATGATGAATTTGGCTAAGGGAGAGGTCAGTGAAGACATCATAATTAAATTGTGGTCAGAACGCCTGCCACACCATATTCGGCCACAATTAATAGTTTCTCGCCATCTTGGTCCGGAAGCCCTGGCGGAAGTTGCCGATATTTTAGTCGATCACTGTAGCCCCACATCACATGTGATGTCCACAACACACAAGTCTTCAGTAGAACAGAGACTGGACCGCCACGAAACTCTTCTTATGTCATGCGTCCAGGAAATCAAGGAACTAAAGGCAATGTTGAACACTGAAAGACAGAGAAATGATCAGCAAGAATCACAACTCAACCAGTCAAGATCAAGAAGTGAACAACTCAATCAGTCAAGTTCTAGAAGTGGTTCTCGACATAGGTCCAGGACACCTTCACGTGGATCGGTTTGCTACTATCATTACAGATATGGGGAGAAGGCCACAAAGTGTGAAGAGCCCTGCCTGCTTAAATCTCTAAACCAGTCAAAAAACTTACTTCACCGTCATTAAGTGGAGCTTGCCATGACGGTGAAGTAAATTCTGTCTGCTCTGAGCTCCGTCTTCATATATCAGACAGAAAGACGGCAATCCAATTTCTTATAGATTCAGGATCAGTTATATCCATTTTACCAGCTCAGAAGTTTGCCGATGGTCATCCTAAGGAAGAGTTAGTTCTATTTGCAGCAAACTCTAGCAGAATATCCACGTATGGAAAGAGAACTCTGGAGCTGGATTTATCTTTACGCAGAAGCTTTAGCTGGCAGTTTGTTGTTGCCGATGTAGCCACAGCCATAATAGGAGCTGATTTCCTAAGCAACTACAATTTATTAATAGACTTGAAGGGTAGAAGATTGATTGATTCGACTACAGGCCTTACCTCTGATGGAAAGGTACTCAAGGCACAGCAAGTTAACATCTCCACTGTCAACCCGGCAGAGCCCTTCAAGGATTTACTGGCACAATACATCGCAATAACAAAGCCACAGGTAACCACCAATAATAAATCATCTCTTTTTGCCCACAGGATAACCACAACAGGTCCACCATTAGCTTCCAGATTCAGGAAGATCTTCGGAGAAAAGGCTGTTGCAGCCAGGTCCGAGATACAAGATCTCCTGAATAGGGGCATTTTGAGGCCTTCCAACAGTCCATGGGCAAGCCCTATTCACATGGTTCCCAAAAAGAATGGCACATTCAGAATGTGTGGAGACTACAGGAGGCTGAACGCAAACACGCTGCCCGACAGGTATCCTCCACCATTAATACAAGATGTATTCAATAATCTTCATCAAAAAGAAGTATTTTCTACAATAGATTTAGAAAAAGCTTACCACCAAGTACCCATGCATGAAGAGGATATACAAAAGACTGCAATTATCACACCATGGGGACTCTTCGAGTATCTACGTATGCCATTTGGACTCAAAAACGCTGCCCAGACATTCCAGAGGTTTATCAATCACATATTCCAAGATTTTAATTTTGTTTTCATTTATATAGACGACATCCTGGTAATGTCGACTGATATGAATGAGCACCGTCGTCATCTTCAATTGGTTTTTGAGAGGCTACAGGAATATTCTCTTACAATAAACTTAGAGAAATGTGCCTTTGGAAAAGATGAAGTTAACTTCCTCGGTTACAAACTGAGTGCTGCAGGATATTCTCCTTCACCAGACCGAGTAGAGAAAATTATTAATTATCCAAAACCTTCGACAGTTATAGAACTCAGAAGATTTTTGGGAATGGTAAACTATTATCGTAAATCAATACCCAAGGCAGCAAATATACAAGCACCACTTTATGAGTATGTGAAGTCCTCAGTTAAAAACGACAAGACTCAAATTGAATGGAATGACAATTCATTATCAGCATTCAGCAAGCTGAAGGAAGCTCTAGCAAATGCAACTCTTCTTCATTTTCCTTCAAGTATAGCAAATATTAATTTAATTACAGATGCATCCACAACAGCCATTGGAGCAACTCTGGAGCAGGAAGAAAATGGTGCATGGCACCCTATAGGTTTCTTTTCCAGAAAGCTCACAGCTACTGAACAGCGATATTCAACTTACGATCGCGAGCTACTAGCCATCTTTGCGGCTTTAAAGTATTTTGAATATCTATTAGAAGGAAGGCACTTTATAATCAAGACAGACCACAAGCCAATCACACACGCATTTCAACAAAAACTGGAGAAAGCATCAGATCGTCAGCGACGGCAGCTAGAATACATATCACAGTTTTCCACTGATATTATATATGTGAAGGGTGATCAGAACGTTGTTGCTGATGCGTTGTCCAGGATCAATGCCATTCAAATGCCATCAAAGCTAACCGAAGAGGAAATTTCGCAAGAACAGAGTAAGGACGTTGAAATGCAAACTATATTGAACGGCAACACCTCTATTAATCTTCAAAAATTGACATTAGGGGGGTATCCAGTTTATTGCAACAGGCAAGATAATTGTGTGAAGCCCTACCTTCCACAAAGTCTTCGCAGAATTGCTTTTGACATTGTACATGGAAATGCACACCCAAGCATAAGGATTACTTCAAGGGAGTTGCGAAGAAGGTATGTGTGGCCTGGGATTGGTAAAGACGTCACCATGTGGGCACGTCAATGCATTCCTTGCCAAAAATCCAAAATTCATAAACATAATCACCTCACTCCTATCCATATTCCTATTCCTGAAAACAGATTTTCGCATATTCACATTGACATAATCAAATTGCCTAATATTAATGGATATCCTTATTGCCTAACAATCATCGACAGATTTACAAGGTGGCCAGAAGCTGTTCCTCTAAAGGACATTTCTGCAGACACGATTGTCCAAGCCCTATTTTCAAACTGGATATCAAGATTTGGTACACCATGTGTGATAACATCCGACCAAGGATGCCAGTTTGAATCAGCTATATTCAAATCATTAATGAATGCAATAGGTGCTAAGAAAATACGGACAACGGCATATCACCCTCAGTCCAATGGCCTAGTTGAACGCTGGCATAGAACTCTGAAAGCAGCTTTAATGTGCTCTCCTGAGCCTTGGATCGAAGTATTACCTGTAGTCTTACTAGGTTTACGTTCTTCATACAAAGAAGACCTTAAAGCATCTCCTGCTGAGATGGTTTATGGAACCACATTAAGACTACCAGGCGAATTTTTCACAACTAAAGAACTGTCATCCGATCCACAAGCATTTCTGGACTACCACAGAAGAATAATGCGGGATATTAAACCTACAGCCACAGCTCATCATAATAAAGCCAATATGTTTGTGCTTAAGGACATAAATACATGCACTCATGTATTTGTAAGATCTGATCATATTAGAAAACCACTTGAGCCTCCATATAGTGGACCATATGAAATTATAGAAAGAATTTCAGACAAAGTGTTCAAAATTTCTATGGATGGTACTGATAAGAACATATCGGTTGACAGACTAAAACCAGCATACACAGTTAAAATAGATAACAGTCAACCAAGCTCATCTCAAGAATTTAAATCACATAACTTGGAGTTATCGATTGACCCTCCAAAAAAGATGAAGCCTAAAAAAGTCTCCTTCAAATTTTAATAATCAAATTCATTTATTTTTACCGGATACCTCTTTTTCTTTTGAAGGGGAGTTATATGGCGGAATGAACACCATATGAAGTTGAAGGACGTCAATTGATGACAATGGCGGAATGAACACCATATGACAGATGTCAGTTGAATAACGTCAATTGATGACAAAACTAAATTATATTGGGCTACGTTGATTCGGATCTGGCATCAAGCAAGCTATAACGATCTGATTGTTTTTATACGATCGAATATTATTGTCGCGCTTTTTAAAACGATCGAAAATATTGTATCGAGTTTTTTGCCAACGAGCGTTTTCTCGTGATCGAAATTTAGATTTGATTTAATGTAATATCAACATCTTTATCAATTGAGACATTAATAAACAGTCATTATCGAGTTGAAATAAAATTATTGCGATTTCATTCAAGAATTAATTAATTAATAATATATGGCCCACTAGCGCCATATATATATATATATATATATATATATATATATTATGAAGATGAGTTCTATAAAATTTAATTAAACAATATTATATGAACATTTTATGAATCTTTTTTATTACGGATTTAATTAAAATGTTCTTTGTCTAAAAATCCATTAAGTTTAAAAAGAAATAAAATATATTTCGTACCGAATACCCTAGAAAACTTTAAACGTTTTTAATATTAAATTAATAAAGAATACATGATTATTATTGAAGAAGTAATCATTAAGTTTGCAATTTAAATAGATAGTTGCACCATTGCCAAATAATTCATATAGATGGTAAATTTTCAGTGGCTTATATAAATATATATATATAAATATTTATATGTATTTATATGTATATATATTTATATACACATGCGTATGAATAATATATTAAAATTCCTACCTTGAAATCCTGGTTAAAATTTATTTATATTTGAAAAAGGATATGGATTAGTAATGAGTTTCAAACACCAACTTCTAGGCCTCGAATCTTGTGTAAGATATCTAAAAAAAATTAAAAATATAATTTATATATTTATATATATATATATATATATATATAGATATATATATATATATATATATATATAGATATATATATATATAGTAGTCTACAGTAATTTACAGTAGACATAATTGTTTCAGAGAGTAAAAATTTTATTTTATATGAAAAGTTTCAAAATTATTCTGTACAGAAACTGCAAGCAAAATTTATATTAAAATTTATACTGTTTATATTTAATTTCATTTACACTAATTATTTTTTCAAGCTATTAATTATGTGTTCAATATTGTAATAAAATTACTATTATTTCTAAAAAACATCAAATTTGTAAATAATCAATATTATTCAAATTAATGTGGAATATATATCAAATAATTATCCCATTCATAAAATTATTATTTATAATGTTAATTAATATTTATATAAAAAATTAGGTTTTGTGCAAATATCATTTTTATATTAATAATTTATACTAATTGTTTTTTTTTAATATTTGTAATAAAATTTATAAAAATAAATGAAACATCTTCGAATCAAATATGTATATGATAATTATACTAGTTAATTTGATATATAATATAATATTTTGAATTACTTCTACAATTTGATTCTAACAATCCAAATTTGAAGTTTGAGGATTATTAGAATCAATAAAATATCCTCATTAGAAAAAATAAAATTTTGATTTGATTTTTCCATATTATAATTTTAGGAATATTTATGTATAATTTTTATTAATATTCTAATCAATTTTTTATGTATTTACAAGTTTTTATTATATATATATATATATATATATATATAATATTTAAAATTGTGTAAACTAAAAAGATGGAACATATTGTTTACACCAATTGAAAATAAAGGTAAAATAAAATAACGATGAAAAATTTAAATGAAAAAATAAATACAGTAACTATAATTCTTATATGCTGTCATGTATGTCATGATATTTGATATATAATATTTATTTTATAAATAAGTAATATTTGGAAGATTTACAATTTTTTAAAATATTGCCATTTATTTTTAATTTTGGAACATAATAAATAATGTCATCATAATGAAATCAAATTTAAATTCTCTGCTAAATATAATTATTTTTATAGTTTGCAGAATAAAAATAAAATAAAAAAAAATAAAATCAAATGTACTATAAAACTATTATTTTCAAACAATTATCAAGCAATGAAAAAATTATTTATTAATTTAATAATTTATATTTATAATTATACATAAATGTAATAATAAAAACATACAAATTTAAGTAATTTAAAATGTAATTTATCTAATGAGCCATAACTTTTATTCAATATTAGAATATTTATACATTTTTTAGAAACTGCTTACTTAATTTAAAAAAAAAATTAGAAATGAATAAATATTGAAAAAAAAACGTTTGTTTTAAATGCTCCTGAAGAAGTAGATATCCCATTTCACCGAAACGTAGAAAAATAATTGTAAATAAAAATTTTTTGAGCAAAAAGAGAATTTTATGACAGAAAATTAAAATTGTTCTAAATATGAATCTTGGTAAATAGATTAAAAATATTAAATTTGATTTCAAATTATGTATTATTATGTATATATTATATATATATATATATATATTATATATATATATATATAAAATTTTACCTCAGGGCGACAGGTGCAAATCCCGGATACGGCAAATCCAGGGAACCTTCGGAAGAAGTTCCGGTGGAGGAACCCTCGGAGCTTCCTCCAGAGCCGTCAGAGGAGCCACTGACGGAGGTTCCGTACCTGGAACCATCCTCAGAACCCATCGGCGAATCCGGAGCACGATATTGGCAGGCTGAGGACATAGTTGGCCTGGGAAAAAAATAATAAAAAAAAATTTATTTGGTATAAATAATTTATATTATTAATTATTTTTCAGTTATTCTACACTTAAATTTAATTTTCTGTTAAATTCGCCTATTTTACTTATGTCCTGTAACTTTAACTTAATTAATAATGAAATAGATATTCACAACACTTCACTTAATCAAATAATCTCCATCTGCACAAGTTAACCTTTTTATTTTCCTTACAAATATCTCATTATTTTATCTTATTCTGTTTATAAATAATATTGTTACATTCTGCATTATATGTAACTTTATGTAAGCATTTTATGTTAATAACTATATATTGTAATTTTGTATATATTTTAATTGTTATTCATTATGTAAAATACTGTATTTTTGAGTCCTCTTGGAGTAATCTGTGGGCTATATATTTAAATAAATAAATAAATAAATATTAAAAATTGTTGTAATTGTATAAGCAAATTTTTATTCCAAGTATCTATTCCCTAATATTTCTTTACCCTATAAAATTTAAAAATTCAAAAGCCCATATATATATTTTATTCCGACAGAGGAAACGCAGCTCGGATATGGTAAAAAAATAAAGGATCCGCCACATTTTCGCTTTCATATCGTTCTATTTTGAATATTTCTGTGTATTTTATATATTCGGGATGGAAGGCAGGAAGCAGGATTTTAAAAACAAACAGAAAAGCTTTTTGAAATTATGCAAATCAAATAAATCGCCGCCATGTAGGTAGGTATAGGTGTACCGGAGGATTCCGGAAAAGGACATGTTAATTGGAAAGGTTTTTCGTAAAAACCGAAGGAAAAGGTGAATGAAATGTATTAATAAAAATTAATATTATCTATTATATTAGTAAAAAATTACACGATTTGAAAATGAATGTTTTTCGTATATATAGCTTTCAAAAGTTGAAATAATCTGGCATTTAAATGTACAAAAATATAATTATTCAGAAATATTCATATGAATTTCAAAAAAGCCAGATTTTAAATTAAACAAATTTTAAATTGTTTCGATTATAAATATGTAGTTTAAATTTTAAATATGTAACTAAAATTTTTATTAATTTAGATTTTAACTTATTTTATTATTTTATACAAAACTTGAAGGACTCAATTTATATGTCTAGGAATTTAAATGTCCAATATTTTGAACATCCTGAAATTCAAATATCCCTAATTTTAAATTTACAAAATTGCAATTGTCCAGGATTCTAATTGACTAGAAATATAAAAATCCAAATTATTAAATGTCTAAAAAAAATTTTATAATAATTACAATATCCAAAAATAAAGAGAACCAAGGATTGTAATATTATTATTAAGCATTTAAATGTCCAGAAATTTAATTATAATTTGAATATTTAAAAATGCTATTATCCACATTTCAAACTAAACAGATATTCAATTAGTCATATATTAAATTATCCAAAAATTAAACAATCAGATTAATTAAAAATTATTAAAATATCTAAAAATTTAAATACCCTAAAATTTTAAATATCCAGAAATTTAAGTACCCAGAACATTCAAATATTATTTTTAAATGTCAACAGTTTTTAATTATTCAGGAATTTAAATGCCTAGAATTTTTAAATATCCAGAGTTTAGATAATTGATTTGCATGAATTTAAATGTCCATATTTCAATAATCCAAAATTAATAATATCTCAATTTTTAAATTTCTTCAAATATTGCAAATGTCCATAATTTCAAATGACCAAAAATGTAAAAGTCCAAATTATTAAATGTCTAAAAATTTTAATAAAAATTAGAATATTGAAAAATTAAGAGATTCAAAAATTGAGCATTTAAATGTCCAAAAAATTAAATATTATTTAAATTTCTAAAACTACTATTATTTAGATTTTACTTGGCTACAAATTAAATTATGAAGAAATATATTAAAGAAATTATTTAAAACCCAAAATTTTAAATGTCTACAAATTTACAAATGAATCTAGAAAGTTGAGTTTATATAACAATGAACAAATAATTATTTAAATAATAAGCAATATAAAAATTACTTATTATTTGAATATTTTAAAATACTATTATTCAGATACTATTATTTACTTGGCTACATATTAAATTATAAAAAAATTAAATAAAGAAATTATTTAAAAAACCAGAAATTTAAATGTCAACAAGTTTCCAAATGATTATCTAGAAATTTGAATAATCAGATTATTTAATACAACCAGAAATTAATTCTATTTATTTTTAATTTGTTTTGAAAGCCAAGAACTTTAAATATGTAGGATTTTAAATATCCAGAAATTTCAATGTCTAGAAAATTAAAGGTCCAGACATATAAAAGTCTAGAAATTTAAATGACTAAAAATTTAAATGTCTAGAAATGTAAATATCTATAATTTTAAATACCCGGAAATTTAAATGCCTAGAAATTTAAATGTCCAGATATTTAAAAGTCTAAAAATTTAAATGTCCAGAAATTTAAATGTTCAGAAATTTAAATATCTAGAATTTTAAATAATCTAATATTCAAAAGTATATAGATTTACTTATTCACATATTTAAGATAAAAATCCAAATATCCAAAGATATTAAATAATCTAGAATTTAAATCGTCGGTTTTTCATATCATATTTAGATTATAAATTCTCCATATTTAAAATTTTCTAGAAATCAAATTATAGAAAAATTTACGCAAACAAAAATTTTGCATATAGAAATTTAAATATTTAGCAATTCAAATTTTAAGCAGAATTAAAATATTTAGGAATATAATTATTCTAAAATTTGAATATCCAAATATCAAACATCCAAATTATAATTATGTTAAAATTTAAAAATCAGAAGTTCAAAGATGCAAAAATTTAAATATAAATAAATAAATAAAAATTCAGTATTTTTAAATAATTTTTAAATAAAAAATTAAGTATCCAGAAATTTAAAATTCGAAAATCTTAGAATGTGCAATTTTAAGTTACCAGAAAATCAAGATACTAGAAAATAAAAAACCCAGAAAATAAAGATCACAGAAAATGAATAAGTCAAAGAATCAAGAAACAGTAAGGACCAATATCTAGAAAAGCAATAATCTAGAAAATCCAAAGTCTTGAAATTCAAAAAATCGTGAAAAGTCAGTAACTCAGAAAATTGAGATATTAAAAATTAAAAATCAAGATCAAAATTGTTTCCACGAAATAAGAAACTTAAAAAATAAAATCACGAAATCTAAAAAATCTGGATTCCAGCAAATCAGAAATACAAAAAATCAATAATTCGGAAAATCAAGAATTCCAAAAATCATACATCCAAATAATCTAGAACCCAGAAAAACAAGAAACCAAAAATTTAGGAATCCAAAAAATAAACAATCAAAAAATACAACAATTCCAAAAATAATAAATCCTGAAAATTATGACTTCAGGAAATTATGAAAGTGGAAATTCAAAAATGCAAAAATGAACAATCAAAAAATCAAGAATCCCAAACTACAGAACTCTGAAATTCTACAAATTTTATCTGAAATTCTACAGCATTAAATCATATATTGAGAAAATCATAAGACTAGCAATTCAAGAATGCAAAAAATCAGGAATCTGGTAAATCATGTATTCAGAAATTTCAAAAATCGAGAAAATCAAGAATCTTCGAAATCAATATTCCGGAAAATCATGAAACTGAACAATCAGAAATCAAAAAAATCAGGAATCCGGTTAATAAATAATCCAAAAAATACCGAAAGATAAATATTAAAATACAAGATTTTGAGAAAGCATTCGTGAATGTTTCACGAAAAATAATATTCTGAAAAAAAACGATTTGCTGAACTCGTACAAAATTTAAATGTATATTATATATATATATATATATATATATATATATATATATGCAAAAATTGTATATTTTAATATTTCAAGCATTTTTGTGATGTCGTATATATAATTCGCGCTAGAATAATTTCCGTCCCAGGATTTCGCCGGAATTAATTGTTGACGGGATATGTCATGGCTTTTGTGAAATGAAAGGGCGAAATTTTGACAAACGAAAGGTCACTTGTTAATTAAGAAGAATTAACATAAATAAATATTAAATTAAATATATATATATATATATATATATATATATATATATAGTATATAGTGACTTACTTTTGTTTCAAAGTTGATTCCTCAGAGAGTCACCAAACATCCTCAACATATAAAATGAGGCATATTTCCAATAAGAAACCACTTTTGTCAATCTTGCAAATAAACTTCTTCAATACACTTTAACAAAAACAATAATAAAACACTTTTATCAACACTCGAGTTTAATATTAAAAGTTTTTGTTTTGTTTTAGACATTTTATTTATTTCGATGGTTTTAGTAGAATCAGGTCCTGAAAGGAAATGAAAAATGAATAAATTTTTTAGAAAAAATTATGACTTTATCTTTAAACAAATCAATATATTTAAGGGGCACAACTAGTGTAACCGCCTAAAAAAGGTGATTTTTGGGAATTTATATTAAAAAAACTACTTCATGAATCATTTCAAAATTTTAGGTATATATTTATACATGTTTTAAAAATACATAGTAAAATTTTTTAAGAAAAAAATTAAATATTTTTTAAGTTATCGTCGATTTCCAACGGCGCGACAAAAAAAGGCGCTTCACTGCTGCAGTGATTCCGGTCTTCTACGTGGATGAAATTTAAAAAAAAAAATTCTCGTTAAACTAGATAGTATTGTCTGTAAAATGAACTACTATAAAGAAAAAAATCAAAAATTGACAGAATGACGGCGTTTTTCAAAAAAAAAGTCGAATTTTAATCAAAATTTTGGTCGTTTTTGGACTGCCAAAATTCGATTTTTGATCCGATTAAAAAATCGATAGTTTATTTCACGGAGAACTATATATAGAACATATAAAAAAAATTCGATAGTGATCTTATCATTTGTTTTTGAGTTATCACTGCAGCAAATTCGGAAAATGCTGTTTCCAGAAAAACGCGTTTAAAGATTAAATAATCGTTGTACTATATACTATATATATACTCTTTAAATGGCTGTAACTCAAAAACTATTTAAGATATCGATTTAAAATTTTGGTATGTTATTTTTAAAGGTATAACCTATCGAAATATGGAAAAATTGAAAATTCGATTTTTTTAAAATTTCACACTAGTTGTGCCCCTTAACCGTCCGGTCAATAACCAAACTTTCACCGTTCGTTCTATAACCGGGTACCCGGGTACCCACGTATAGTGTGGTAGAATTATAAGTCATTAGTACACTAAATTGCATTTTTTTTATGTGTAAGCTTGCTATGTTGCATATGAAATTGCTATAGTGATACAGTTTATAGCCCTCATAGAAATAATAATAGCAGAACACCTGGTCAAACGATATTTCTGAAAATCTGACAATTGATGAGCAAGGTTATCCATACGGAAATCCAACCAGATTTACTCAGTAAATTCCGTCAAAACCAGCAAAATACGGAATTAAACTATGGTGGATATGTGATTCTGAAAATTCGTATCCACTTACTGGACAGCTTTACACTGGAAGATCAAAAGATGGTCGTGAGAAATACGTTGATGAAAGAGTCGTCAAAGACTTAGTGGCGCCTTATAAAGGATGGGGTAGAAACATCACAATGGATAATTACTTCACTAGTCTTTCACTGGCAAAATTTTTACTATCTTGGGACTTGATAATTGTTGGCACTTTGAAGAAAAATAAAGCTTATATTCCACCAGAAATGGCTGTATCAAAAACGCGAGAAGAATTATCTGCGGCGTTTTCACGAAATAGTTACCCTTTGTAGCTATGTGCCAAAAAAAAACAAAGTGGTCCTTATGCTATTACCAATGCATCATGAAGCAAAAATTAATGATAGTGCAAAGAAAAAAACAGAAATTATTGAGTTTTATAACTGGTCTAAGGCTGGAGTAGACAAGATGGTTAAAATGCTTGGTAGATATACCACAAAAAGATCTACCAAAAGGTGGCCTTTGGCGTTTTTCTACAATATTCTCGACATTGCCTGCCTTGCAACGTATATTTTGAATTATAAGAATAACAAAATGCTTATTAAAAATCGTATGAACTACGATTCTTTTGTAGACTACGTTTCTCTAGTTTACTATAATTGCAATTGTTTATAATTATTGTTTAAATAAAAAGAAATCACAAACTATCTTGTTAAAAATGAAATTATCTAAATACTATAATAAACAGTCTTTCCAATGTGTATAAACATGTTATTTACAGGTATTAATCGCAGTGGGTACCCGGGTACCCGGTTATTGAACGGAGGGGGTATCAAATTGGATAGTTAATAACTTTTATTAAATAATTTATTTGAATTTTTTTTTACGAAAAATAAGTGTTAAATTACTTTAACTTTGGGGATCTGGATGGCCATACAAATTTTTCAAGTAGTAGTTGATATATTTTACCTGCAACTTCAAATGGATACCCGGGTACCCGGTTATTGACCGGACGGTTAATAAAACAATTTTTCATCAAAATTAAAAAATCCCTCGCATATTTCTTTATTTTCCCTAGTTTTTTCCTCAAAAAATCTCGACAGTAAAATATTTCCCTAACATATTATTACTCCGGCGGAATTCTTCGTGTACACGATATTTTTTTTATTCGATCCGGGAATTTTTTATACGACGTTCTTTATTAACTCCGGAATATTTTCCGGGTGCGCTCTTCTAGTACGGTGGAGGAATGAGAGCATCATCTGTTGCACAAAGGCAACTGTTAGGAGCCACTTCTACGAAAAGGCCATTCAACAGATGAAAGATGGAACTAACTTTTGTAAAAGATACATAGACATACACACACACACATATATATATATATATATATATATATATATATATAATATAACCAGTCATACATTTCATATAAAATATATATAGAATAAAATTTGATTTATTTTTAGATTTTGATAATTTTCTCAAATAATTTGTTCAAACGTGTACATATAATAATATATCAATGAAAAGCTAATAAAATTATCTATAAATTTATGTGTAACAAATTAAGTCGTCTAGAACAAAATTATATTTAAATTTTTTTTAAACTTTCATTTTCAATTCAAGCCATGTCATTTTCGTGAACAAATATCACAGGTTATCTTGGTGCATTTTTTAATGGTATGATAATTTTCTCAAATAATTTGTTCAAACGTTTATATATATATATATATATATAATGGTACATCAATAAAATGTCAATGTATTGTCAATTCACTTGAAATTTAAATTTCGCTGAAATAATGAGCCTAGATAATATTAGATTATAATTTACAAGAAAAATTGAAAGTCTACCAGAAATTAAAATAAAATAAGATACAGTCAACAGTATATGTTTGGCAGATGAAATTATATACTTCAGTTCAATAGTAAGATATTAAAAATATAGAACTTTTGAATTGTAGTCGTGGTTACAGGACTACGTCTGCCGGGTCATCCAGTATATATACATATATATATAAATATATATATATATATACGCCGAATATTTCTGAAGGTCGCACATAATTTTACCCAAAAAAATAAGTTCATTTTGTCTTAATTGGATGTATTTTTTATATACGGTTTCTCCCCAAAATAACATCAAGTTAGTTTATCGATTTATACTAAAATAGTACACTAAAAGGTTTATTTAAATTAAAAAAATGGCTCGGCTGATGATCACACAAACTTATGATATCAAAAGAGATTCATATAATTTTTCAAGAAATTTCGTCTAATAATTCACAATGACCGTAAGCATCGAAAAATATAATATTAAATTTCGAGTGATTAATTAATGAAATTAATAATTATAATGTGTTCCCAAAATTTAAAAAAATCTTTGACTTTTTCAACCTGTTTTAATTTCTATGTTAGTCATATCCAATTTTAGAATCAAACAGTATAAATTTTATTGCTACGAGCAATAAACTAGAAATAATGTTTTATTATCGATTTTATTTTTACAATAATAAATTTTATTCGGTCAGGTGCTAGAAATACTTGCGCACTAAAGGTAATAAAATTATAAAAAAAACATATAATATATGTATAAACTGATGTTAAATTTATAAGCTTTTAAATAGTATAATTGTTTGCTTGAAATGAATTTTTAGAGATTTTATTATCAAACTAATTTTTAATGATTATTTAACCTAATAATTTTTAAATATTTAGATATTGATAATTTGAATTATAATAAATTATCGTTGTTATGTTAAATAAATATATATATATATATATATATATATATATATATATATATATATATATATATATGTGTGTGTATATATATATATATATATATATATATTCAACATAACAACGATGCTTTATTATAATTCAAATTATCAATATCTAAATATTCAAAAATTATTAGGTTAAATAATCATTAAAAATTTGTTTGATAGTAAAATCTTTAAAGATTCATTTCAAGCAAACAATTATACTATTTAAAAGCTTATAAATTTAACATCAGTTTTATTTTTGATTTAAGGTTTAGTAGAAATCTAAAAAACGGCTTGATTGATTATTGCGTAAAACTAAACATTTCTAGTCTAAATTTTGTACACACATATAAGCAAAGACTTTTCCCAATTTTGTAGCCAAACGATTCAGATTAACTTGAAACCTAAAGCAATCTCAGGCAAAAACAAAGTTCGAGATGTCAAAGTTCAAAATCATTCAAAATCCCATAAACTAAAAACAATCAGCAATTTTTTCCAACCTTTTTAATTAAAATGATTCAAACTATGCCAAACGATTTATTTATTAAAGACCCAGTTCCATACACTACTAGTTACTTTTATCTAACCCAATTGATATTGAAGATTTTAATAAAATAATTAAAAAATCTACCATATATAGTAATTTAAATATGTATCGTTATTTTTTTTATAAATACAATCTTTAAAAAAATTCAGAATTCACAAATCCGACGGTAGAATTTAATAGAACTTGAAGGTTTCTAAAAGTAACAAATCATATATATATATATATATATATATATGTATATATAATAAAACTATGTATATATATATATATATATATAATATAATAAATATTATATATTTACCAAATTTTATTATTTATTCCACTTGCTTTTGGTGTGAAAAGTACTCGTAATCGTGTCAGAAAATAGACTTTAAATTATATATTAACGATATTAAAATATATT